ATGTGGACAACTCATATGGCTCCTTTTTAATGTTTAGTACACTGTTCATACCTCAAGAGATTGCACGCGAGAGCTCGCTGCCATTGATGCTGGGAAGGTCAAGAAGTTTTGTGCTAGATACTCTATCCTATGCTCTTATTTAGATACTCACAAGAGGAATTCTGTTCCATTAGCAGAGACTGGTCACATTGACACAACTTTTGTATTCGAGATGGATGCTTATAGCACGAACAATAGGGCATTCAAGCCAACTGGGACATTGTATCTATGTGCATTATACGATTCTACCAACAACCTTATCATCATCATCGATAGGTTTTGCTGTCGGAAGTATAGCCTACGTCATGCAGAATATCTTCTGTTTTCATAGGGAAAGATATCGCTAGTAAAACTAAAAGCTTAGGGCATTCAGATTATGGAAAGAAAAATTAAAGAAAGACAAACACGTTTCACAACATGAACTCGAGTATGCATTATCGCACACACAATAATACTCATGTGTCTTCCCTTCATCGCACTCTGCAATAATATAAAACATCAAGAGCTATTGCAATTGGACGTCATCGCCAAATTTGTAATACTTATCTAATATTTATTTTGCACTATAGTCTCATGACTTTTGGAATATGATTTGAATAATTGTCTTAGGACAGCTAATCAGTTTTATAGCTATACAACGACACCTATGGTGTCGTCTCAAGAGCTCTCCTGTGATACAATTGTCAGCATTAAAGCGGAAGAATGAGAAACATCAGGGTTTACGAAATAATACTATTCTAAAGCATACATCAAGATCATGATATGAGCTCATAACTGAAATCCATTATGTTTTTTGTGGTGATTATTGGGCATTATATGAATAAAAAGAATTGGCTCGTAAATCACTTGCTTCATTTATAATAGTCTCATAAAACTGCAGTATTAATTTGTTAAATATGTAATATTTATATCATCGGTTTTTTTTTCTTGTAAATTGATTTTTTACTTTACATTCAGATTCATACATTGAACGTCTCGGATATAATTATAATAATCTGCTCAAATATTAACAGTATAAATACAATAAAAAAAAATAAAATACAAACAATTAAATACTCAAATGGCACTTGCTCTATAGGGACGATAGGCAAGAGTTTGGTTTTGAAATTTCACTTTAAAGAACAAAGGGCTCAGCGAGATCAATCTGTCGACAATAGTTAATCAAGGGTATATTCTATAGGGGCTAGTACAATTATTTATTACTAATAGTGTTATAGTCAAACTACTGATGTAAAGACTTCAATGTATATATACATAGATGTTTGAGGAATTATTTATGACAACGAACACTGGGGTTTGAAGTTTCATGTCAGGATGGGTTACCAAAAGGGTAAGAGCAACATAATAATAGGCTAGGTTAGATAATGACATAGTGTGCTCTATGTCTAGTTCAGTTTTCATAAATTTAAGATGTTCTTAATGAGAATGACTCTGTTAAGAGAAGTAGTAAAAGTCAGCTGCAATACAACGAGGAGGAATGGATGGCCGTTTATATAGGCTAAGGATGTTGGAATTTATCAGCAGGTACTGTTTCACAAGATGAAGAGTTGAATGCTAAGGGCAGTTTTTCTGGGATTTTCCACAATTAGATGATGAAATAGTGAGGAAGGAAAAGTTATACACAAGGGATAAAAGATTAGGAATGATCTAATAATTGATACGAAATCGAATTCTTGTATATGTATTTTGTTGTTGCATATTGAAATAGATATACACATCAGGTTTGTAATGAAAACACTCAGAAAGTACAGATAATAGAATAATATATTTATTTCCCACATAAATAAGTTATTCTAATGAAAAATTGTAACTGTACAAGATATCACTTGTATAAAACGAGAGGGCTTATTTTTACTATAATTCTTGATCAAAATAGATGCTAAAGTAGAATCGGAGTACCACACAGAAAATATTAGTACATGCAATGTATAGTCAGTATGACACGTTAAAACAAGAAGGTTAAATTAGGGATATTAGACACAGATCAAGACGTACAACGAATAGGATGGAGACTGAAGCAACAATATATGTAATAAATTGTAAATTATGTGCGACCGACAGTAGATAAATTATTTGCATCAGCATTTTTGTAATGTGACAATATCTATTTAACAGCAAAGTAGCTATGTGACATCTCATACTATAGGTAAACATTTGTGATAACTACAGATATTGGGAGGATGAAGGATCTCGGAACAATATAAGCAGGAACCAACTATATATGCAGAGACTACTTAGAGTGGTAAGAAAATACAAAAATAATCAAAAACACTATAGCAATTATATGAGTGGATTATCTATATATTATGAAATTAGAGCTCTTAATATTTGCACAAGTAGAGTATGGCTGAGTACTGGCTTATAGGAAGGAAAGTGTTCTCGTAGGCATTTCGTGTTTGTGAACTAGATTGCATTCCGTTGGGCATTGGGGTCCTATTGCAACTGGTATTTTGCTCCCTCCAATCTCCACATAAGCGCTTCATACATATAAATATTCCTAGATTTGGTAACCTATAAGTCCAATAAATGGTAATACCCTCTAAACAATTCTGCATTAAGTCCTACTCGCGTACCACGTAAATTTGGAAAATATTTGATTGAGAAGGTGAAATACAGGTAGGTTGGCGAAATTCGGATGACTGCCACAATAAGTACTAATAATTGGAGAAGTTTGGCAAATCGATGAGCAATAACTGTCATGAAATTAATTAAGTTGACTATTTCTACTTTTGTTTTAAGGGTCGATTTCTGTGACATATTCCATTTATAGCTAAACAAAATTCTCTTTATAAAAAATATATAATATTTAACATTAGACAATACTATTATATATAGCTCTTTTTTTATCTTCTTAGATGGTTGATATAATATATAGAAAATTTGTGTACAAATGTTTAACAAATACTAAATGTCATTTGAATGTTACACGAATTGAATATAGTATGGACTTCGGTGAAAAAATGTGTTGCAGTCTTATATAGTGTACGATAAATCGTTGCGTAGCAGTTGTCTTGAGAGCTTTCATTGGTTCCCTGATTTGCTCGACTTTTGAACTTTTACTATCTTTTATTTATAAATCATAATTTACAACTCTCAAGTATGATAATATCATTACGCTAGAAACAAAAGATATGGTCTATAATTAAGTGGTGAAGTCATTTAAAGAGATACGATCATAATAACATATATCAAAAGAGAGTGATGAGACTAGATTCAGTCTGCTATACTTGGACACACGGGAATGGTGCAAATCTACTTGAAATTAAGGACAATAGATTAGATTAGCTAACGAAAAGCATTTCTAAGATTTACTACTCGATTACTTAAGAAAATGAATAATTTGATCAATTCTTGATGCCATATGTGCACGTAACATTCTATGATGTAACAGGGTAAATTTTATATGTTAAATAAAACATATAGCTATGCAATATTATTATAAATCAAAAATTCAAATGTCATAATAAAATGTATTGTTCGGGAACAAGTGGACTGATTTATTTTAGAGGGTTTCTATAGACTTTCGCAAGGACCTTCCCTGTAATTTACGACATATAGGGATTTGCATCTAATATGAAATTTACGCTAACGAACTATTGGAAAAACAAAAAAAAAAAAAAAAAAAAAAAAAAAAAAAAAAAAAGTAAAATGATTTTTTGGGAATTCTTTTTTAAAAATAGATTCTGGAAGAAATTCCAAAAAATGTGGTTTATAGCGCGATGGCGAGGTGCTTCGATGATCAACGCATATCCATGCTTAAAAATCGAAATGACTTAGCGCGTCTGTGTAGTGAATTTTTTGGGAAAATACAATTGCCCTCTTCGATGCGTGCCCGCACGCGGCGTGGGGGCGGCTCAAGGGACGAAAGATTCGCAAAAGATTAAGAGAGGCGGCTGGAGTCAAGGAAGCCAAACACCGCGGTTCTCATAGTGCCCGCCTGAGATTTGTTCAGATAATGCTTTCGCTATTTTCCGCGCCACGCATTGGTTTTTTATATTTCCGTATAACGTACGTATATATTGAGTAATAATGTAGTATAGCGAAAGTTTGAAATGATGCGGAAAATGGCTTTTAGGAAAATTTTCAACGAAATTCATGTTGTGGGGCCCACTGATATGTGTGGTTGTTTTTGTTTAGTTTTTTCCAAACGTCCTGAGTTGTCTACCAATCTATGAACACAGCTAACGGCGAAACTACAAGCATTCTACGGAATTTTGATCGAAGTGAAGATATCACAGGTTGATCTGTCGCTGTCGTCAAAGCTTTACGAGTTTGAAGAATATTTGTTTAAAATTGAGGATACATTTAACTGACGCCCCAAAGGACACTCTTTCACATTTTTAAAAATGGCTCCATTTTTTCTTGAATTTGTTGTAAGAGTAGATTGAATATCAATTAAATTTGTTTTCCCTAATTAAGTTCTTTCATTTTGAGTCATGCACATTTCGTTTGGAACATTTTTAGTAGGATTTCGTGTAATATAATGCCCAGTCACAAAATTCTAAAACCAGAATTAGTAAAAAACGGCTCAATTGTTTTCAACTTTGCTAGGGATGTGTTGTCTAGGCTATCCTGGACGACCGCGGTCATGACATAGTTGCTAAGTTCGGCCAGCGTATTGTGGCCTTCGACGTACTGCAGTACGCGGCTCGTCCCGGATAGCTAGACAACAAATAACTCGACGCGGAAGCGTGCGCAACTAATATGTTTTGTAGGGATGTTTCTAATTGTGCCAGTATAAGATAGGATAAACGCCGTATTTGCTTTGTTCTTTTTTTATTCTTATAAACTT